TTCAGACCTTAATTTAGGTGGAGCTCGGGTTCAATAAACCATCACTTAATTCACAGGTATTACAGGGAATAGACCTTTACCTCGATATCCAAAATGCTTATCAATTTCCTGATTATCTCTTCCTATTGATCACAAAATGTTTGTTTAGTTATTCTTTGGTTGCGATAAGATTTAAAGCTTCTCATCGGCTTATCTATGAACGCATCAAAACATAGTAAACAAACATTTCATTAGTTTTTTGCCATAAATTCCTAATTCATTCAATTCCCAGAATTCTGATATGTTTGGCAAAATTATGATAATATTTTAAATAATTATAAATTCATTTATTAACGAAAAATAACATATTTAACAAATTTCGGTATTATGAAAGTAAAAACAGAATTATTTGATAACATAGCTATCGATCAATAATATTTTAACAGTTAAATTATTCGAGTAATCATTAAATGATAAATTTAAGTAATTTTTAAATCGAGAACAAGTGATAAACGTTATACTGGACTATAAATAGGCATTAATTAAGAAGTTTAGAGTATTTTTATAACAATTAAGTGGTTTATGACTACTGATGATCGCGAGACTACTGTTCCGGTCTAATGGCTTGCTCTCCACGTAGACGGCGAGCCAACTGCATGTCTTTGGGCATAATCGTCACTCTTTTGGCGTGAAGTGCGCACAGGTTTGTGTCATCGAACAGACGGGTCAGGTAGGCCTCCGCCGCCTCCTGGAGGGCCAGCAGTGCTGTCGACTGATAGCGGAAGCCATCCATGAATTCAGTCGATAACTGGCGGACCAGTCGTTGAAACGGGAGTTTCTTAATCAAGAGGTCGGTGTTCTTCTGGTACATCCGGATGTCGCGAAGGGCTGCCGCACCCGGTCTATAGTGGTGTCGCTCAAGATTGGGTCCATTGGCCGGAGGTTTGGGTGCCTTCGCCGGAGGACTACATCTTTTGGCAGACTTCGTGGCCACCTGAAGACGCTGTCGTGATTTGATCCCCAGTTGGAGGCGACCTGTGGTCGACTTGCGAGCCCTCGGCTGCCTCTTCTTCGGCTCCTCTTTCTCTGCGCTCTTTGGCTATCATTCAAAGCAAATGGTGTTTCAAATAGTTTGCAAAATGTGTGCAAATCTGCACTGAAATCAATGCAAACCACTGTTTTTTGGGGCATAAAGTTCTTGCGCCGACAACTGCCCGACCGTCCGCTCGGCGATAATGTAATCACAAGTCTTTCCACCATTTGTTGGCTATTCCTGACGGGGAAGGGATCCGTTTCCGTGGACGTGAACCCTCCGCAGCCACCAGTGGTCGCGCACTGAGATCCCAGTGCTTTGACGGGTTGCGGATCTTCTTCGTCATCCGAGTCGACCAATGGTTCATCCATTTGCGGATCGTTGAGGATCTGCTCGATGATAGTGTGGGACACCCCGTGGTTGGCATCACTTCCCACACCACTCACCGCTGTCTGTGTCTGTTGTGTGATGTGGTCATCGAGAGGGACGTCGACATAACCCCCGAGTTCGTCCTCTGAGTCGCCAAATGGTTGGGACATGTCTTCAGGAATTGTCTTTCAAGAGGTGATACAACTGACGGTTCAATACAATTAGTTCACGGAATACACGACTGACTGATCACTGAATGGGTAATCGAATGGCTATTAAATGGCATTCAATTCAATCACTTATTGCACACTATTTTCACTTTCAATGAGACCTTTAAATGGGACGCAATGTTGAGAACGCAATACTGGACTACTGTATGGCCTATACCTGTACGACAGGACTATAGGAATCCTATCATAGGATCATAGGATACATCTGTTTTGCATTTCATCTCAATTTACATCATTAGCACTGAATTGCAATGAATGATGAAATCAGTCACAAGTTGTGAAACAAACGAAACATTTTGGAAAAATTCAAACTTTTATTTCAATATTCAATTGAATGCATAAATAAATACAAAATAAATATTTAATTAAAAAAACTTCTCTTTTCGACAAACCATTGGTTCGAAAGACATATGAAATTCAGAAATAAATTATAATAACTATTAATATATAAATAAATTGAAAGATAAGCTAAAGATAGGGAACTAATTGGACAGTCGGTGGTGAGGGAGTGGATGGAAGTGCCGACTATTTAGTGGTCTATTTAGTGGTGAATTGGGAGAAGAAGTTTCGTATACAACAGGCCTGAGTGAAGGCGCAGTCGTCGTAGTCGGGCGCCAGTACTCCGCCGTCACGGATACAGCTGAAGAAGTTGGGAATCGTGAGGCACTCGCCTTTCCCGCGGAACACCTGACACGGCCTGTGAGTCGACACAACCACCGGAACCGTGTTCTGGACGACCGGCTCTTTGATGG